GTTTTTTTATTTTTGTTTTGTTTCTGTGTGTGTGTGTCTGGTTTTCATTTGTTGGGGTTTTGTGTTTTGGCTAGTTTTTTTTTTGGTTTTTTTTGTTTTTTTTTGAGGGAAGGGCAATTGTAATGTCAATAATTTCTTAGACTTCCCAGACACTAGGGCAGGGAAAATAATATTCCTTCCTTTTCCACTGCTTTGGTTTTGTGTTACGATTAATTTGCTAATATTTTGTATTTAATATGGCAGGTTACAAAACAGCCAGAATACAACTAGCAAGCTTTGAATATTTAAATGCTTCCAAAAATGCATTTGTAGGTTTAATCTCCTTTCTCCAACTGTTGATAAGTTTCCATGGTGAAAATTGTGCACTGATGTAGAACTGCACAAACATTACTCCAGTGATTTTGATAACCTAAGAATTTGGTGTTGTGCTGTTCCAACCAATCGCTGAGAAATTTCTTGAGGTCCAACCACTGTATACAATGTCATCTCTTGTATTTCTAAACCACTTCCACTGAATTTTTCTTGATAAAAATGCTGCCCAAGTGCAAATAGTCCCATTTGTTTCATAGGCAGAGTCTGAGTCATGAATGGACTTAAAATTACCCCTGTATGCAGCTGGCATTTTTAAGGTACAGTTTCACAATCTACTTAAGCTGGCCTAAAGCTGTGCTGCTCTGTTGTGTCTGCACGAGCAATTATTTAGCAATGAGGCTGCCCACTGCTCCAACATAAAAGGACTGGCAGGAGTACACAGCTGAGACAGAAAAAGAGTGCAGCACTGTGGCTTTTGGCAGTTGTTCCATCCTACATCTCTGCTGACAGTGACACCAGGCACTTTTCAGCCCATGGCTACTCTAGTCTTGCAGTGTTGAACTCTACTAGAAAGAAAAGTCTTTGAAACAGGGAAAAAAATGTCACTTCCTTTTTTACTGTGCTTGCGCAGTGTGATAAAACTTAAACATGATAATTTTTAGTTTAATAAAACCAGGATATTCTTGCTTGCTTGCTTGTTTGTGTTTTGTTGCTGCTACATTTATTTAGTTACCATTTCTAAATGTTAGAAAATCTTGAAATAAAAATATTAGAAAATAAAAAGTAAATTTTTTAATTAAAATAAATAAATTAAATAAAAAGTAAAAATTAAAACCCCTGGTAAGAGCAGTATCACCACATTCTGATTTGCTCTTTTCTGTGTACTTTCTATTCTGTGTTCTCCCATATTCACTCAATCCTTAGAAGACAGGAACTTAAGATATCATTTATACACTTTATTTATCACCCCCTTTATTTCTCAGATGCTCATCAGCAACATCAGATCTCTCCCTCCAAAACTAGTTAACTAGCAAATAGTGTGGGTTTTGTTTGTGTTCCTGTCAGGTGGGGTTACACAGAGAGGAAGCAGGGTTGGATATTGCAAAAGTCATTGTCACAGGGAGGAAGGATTTGAAGGAATGATCCCTTCTCTGAGAATGTGGTGTATACTTCATTCTGTGAGGCATACACTTCATTTTATGACCTGTTTGTTGTGAAATGGGTGAGCTATTCTTGGATAGCAGAGGTTCTAATTCCTACCCTCTAATACAATTATGTGTGTAAGTTTCTGAGTGTGATTATATAAATGAAAAGCAATATGATTTCCCTAGTTTGGCAGAAAATGTTGTATGCTGAAACAAATGAGGTTATATGAGGGTTAAGAGATTTTGGTTAGAACACTTTAAAGGAGAAAAGATTATTGCACCCATGTCTTCTCTGTAAAAGGGGGGTGCTCTTGACTAACAGATAACTGTACTGCATTAAAAAGGATCCTCATGACTGCTGCATTGTTCCCTATGGTTATTTTGTTGGGGTTTTTTTGTGCGTGTGCGTTGTAAAAGAAGGATGTGTGCATGAAGTATATTTCAAGAATTCCCAATAAATATCTATGAGTGGATTTAGATTAAGAAAAGTGTATCTTTCAGGCCACAGTTAGGTTTAGTCGTTAAATCCCTCTAAAATAAAACCTTTACTTTAGACTTAAGGGTTTATGTACATTTGCTATTTGAGGAGTTATTCAGAAGTTTCAAGAGTCCACCATTACTGGATACCTAGTTAACTCAGTCCAGATCCTACTTAGATACCTGGCTTTTTCTGGGTCTGTGGATGAATGCCTCATTTTTCACAGCAGCATTTAGGAACTTGTGTATTATTATCCTCATTGACACTGGCAAATAATTTGCTGCAGTCCAGCTGATTATCCTACTCTTCACTTCCATCTGTTAGCACTTGGCCTCTACTCAAGCAGGATAACATCGCTAGCATTTTCAAGATCATTCAGATGGCTGATTTTGGCATCAATGCAGAATGCTATCCCTGAGGTGGTATACCAGAGTGTATCACCAACAGCAATCCATGATTTCTTATACTAACAACTTGAAGTGACAACTAGGTCACTTTTCCGCAAGTCAAAACTCATTTTCTTGGTAGATATTTCACAGCATCTTTTTCCTGCTGATAGCCCATCAGCCTTGCTTTTCAGCTATTCATAGTTATGAATAATATTTGAAAATGTAACAAGATAATGCAAGTTGTTGCCAGATGGTCAATGTTTCTCCCGATAAAAATGTATATGGTAACTTTTAACAGTTACTTTAATAATTAACAGTTGTTCTGAAAGTGACCTTGATTTTACTGACCTCTTTTTAAAGAGCGTTATGTGATCAAGTAAGGCAGAATGCCAGTGCAATTCGGACTCATTTTATGCAAAAGAGTTGGTTGCAACCCAGGGTCACTATTTCTAAATACCTTAATCCAACTCCTTTGAAGTCTAAATCACTTAATTGTTTCTCCTGGATACCAATTGAATCCATGAGGTTTTGGTTTTGTTTCTCAGTTGTAGTATAGTAACTATGGGTATCTGCTGACTACTGAAAATTACTACTAGAAAAATAATTGAATACTAGTACTACTACTATTGTTATCTGATGTTCTGGTGAGTTTTTTGGAAGCAAAATGATTTGAAAATGGCAGAAAGTCAGTAGCCTATACTACTGAATGTTGAAATCATAGATGGCTAAAGATGCTGTTGTTTTTCAGTTGGCTTAGCAGAAAACCAGCCTTAAGTATTCTGCAAGGGCACCTTTGATAATGTGAAAGAACTTTCAACGAAAAAGCAAAGTGACATATAAGTGTCTTCACTGGCATATATAAATAAGAATTTGTCAAAATGGTATGATTTGTGAGTATGTGTGGCCAGTCAATAATTCATTTTCATGCTTCTCCACAAATATCACATTGCAATTGAATAGTGTATATGTAATGGTCTCAATAAAGGCCCCACGGAGTGAGAAGGGCTCTTCGGAGAAGTTTACTCTTGCTTTTAACCTAACATAATTCTTCCACTTGTTCTGCTTGTTCAGAATTGCCTGACAATTTATTGGAAAAGTCATTCCCTGGGACTTCAGTATGTTCCAGTGGGTCAGCCTTGGGGAAAAATGTAATGGGTACAATATAGGTTACAACGGGAACAGAGGGGAAAAGATGTGGGAGTTTTTAATTTGTAGTGTATGCTGTTCCATTTCTACTGACTTTAAGTAGGAATGTGGCCTTTATTGTTGCTTTACATTTCCCTTTGCTCTTTGCCTGGAATAACTTCCCCAGTAGCATGAAAGGCAGAATTTTAACAGATTCAAGGTCAGGGAATTATGTGCTGATCTTTGGCCATTATGCAAATTTCTTCTGACAGGAAGATATGATCCAGGCAATAATTAGTATTTTTCCTTCTTAAGACAAGTCTATAGTGCACATCTGAAAGATTAGGATGGCTCCAGACATAGTTCATCATTAATGGAAATGTGCATAATTTAATAATTTAATCCTTCCAAGGTGCTCTCCACAGCACAAAGAAACAGAATCAGTATCCATAATGTATGACCTTTATATATTCATATATTCATTTCAAGATAGTTATACATTGAGTAGCTTAAGAAATACTTGACTATGCAGCTGTATTTTCCAACATATTGGGAGGGTGGAGGGGAGTTAAGAAGAATATAGGCTATGCCTGGGAAAAAGTGGTCACTTATGCTGTTCAGATGATTAATACCCACATCCTTTGAGGCAGTTTATAAACATAGTAAATGGAAACACACATCCAAAAGCTAACACCTTTTCTTTTCCTAGAGTGCATTCAACACCGAAGACTAGCTTGGCATCACATCAGACAGGTTACAAAATCGGGCTCTGAAAATAATTACCTGCAATCCAAACTACACTCCAAACCAAGAATGAAATAGTAGCTCTTGAATATTGTGGGTGGACCAGAGGGGCTAACCAGCACTTCTAGTGACGCTTAACCACATCACTGACTGAACAAGTTATGGGGCAGAAGGGTTTACATCTCATTACGCTTTTATACTTTACTTCAGAAGCCTTCAGATAACGCTGAATGACAATCTTTTTAACGTATCATATAAAATAAACTGCCTACGCGTGGAAGTAGTTATAAAAAGTGGAATCGCTCCAACAAGATGATGCTGCGTATCTCCGTGGCTTCCGAGATAGGGACACACTTATGCATTTATTCCGCACTCACCAAGTTGCCGTCCACGGGAGGGACGGCTCCTGCCTCCCTGCCCAGACCCATCCCACCCGTAGCACCGTAAGCTGCCATTGCCCCGGCTGGGAGCCGCGGAAGCCGGTTGGTGGCGGGGCGGCAGCTGCCGACCGGCGGGCCGGCCACGGAGGCATCCGCAGCTTTTCTTCACAGAGCCCTCTCATACGTGCCCGCTGCTCCCCGCCGCCCGCACCGGGACCTTCCCTCGCTGACCCTCACCGCGATCCCGGGGCAGCCGCCGCGTGAGGGGCCTGGGCGACGCGGCCCCTCCTACCCCGGGCGGGTCCCCCGACTTTGGACCTGGCCCTGGCCCTGCCCCCGGGCGCGCTCGCCGCGCTCCGCGCCGCTCCGGGTCCCCCGACTTTGGACCTGGCCCTGGCCCTGCCCCCGGGCGCGCTCGCCGCGCTCCGCGCCGCTCCGTCGGTAGCCCGCTGCCGAGGCGCAGGGACGGCTGTGCATCCGCCGCCAGGAGCGCGGCTGGGCTCGGCAGCCAGCTCACGCAGTCGCAGCCCAGAAGAGCAGCCGGGAGCAGCGGCGGGGCCGGCAGCCCACCCGCCGCAGCAGCACGGCGCGCAGGACCGGCACATCCCTGTTCCGCCGGGGGCGGCTCTGCCAACCACCCCCATCCCCTCCTTCACCCCCCCCTCCTTCCCTCTTTTCCTCCTCCCTCCCGCCCTGCCTTCTGCTTTCTCTCCCCGCCCCTCCAGAACGGTATCTCTGTGAGTTTGCTTCACTGCTTGTGCCTGCTGCCGCATCTCCCCCGCCACCAACTCTGGGGAGCCTCCGGCGGACTGCAGGGACCCGAAGTTGCGGACAGACAGGGGGAAGTACCGGCAACGCGGAAAGGGCCAGAGCCGAGCACAGGCCGGCCCAGCCGAGGCAGCGCGCCGCAGCCCCCAGGTCGGGAGCTAGCCCCGGGCCGCGCTGGTTGGGCAGAGCGACTCGGCCCCTCGGCAGCTGCCGGCCGCCCCTCGCCCCTTCCCCGCCCGTCGCCGGAGCTGCTGCGGTAAGAGACGGGTTTGCGCTGGAGGAGGCCGGTGAGAGGACACACGTAGGGTCCCGGCCACGGCGGGGGGTTCGTCCTCTAAACTTGTTCAAGTTGTGCGGCCCCGATGCTGCGGGGAGGGGCGCACGGCGGCTGCGGAGGGGCGCCCTCTGCTGGCCGCGCCGGTCCTCGTCCGGCTTCGTGTTGGGGCGGGGGGCGAAGCAGCGGCGGGCGGCGGGGTCCGTCCTAAGCGGGCCGGCCTCGCTCCGTCACTCCGCGGGCGCAACCAAGGCGCGGGGTGTTCGTGTAAGCGTCGTTTTACGTTGGTTTTCTTTTTAATTTGAGCTCCATTTAGTCTCAGTTGCGTATTTCAGGTTTGCTTTCTCTGTAGCTCCTCGCAGTGTAATGGAAAGATTGTCCCTGATGCAGGACAAGGTGAACTAGAGAGAGCTCAAGTAGCCAATCTGGATTTCTGTTTTGCCAATGGCAAATTCTGTGGAACTTTGAAAATGCTAATTAAAAAAAACACCCAGATCTGTTAAAGAAAAGGTGTATTAATTCGTCTTTCCTAGAAAGTGAGCAGTACTTTGTTAAGTACTTCAGATATGTTCTCACACCTGTACAGCTTCAGAGAACTTTTGTTTCTCTTTTCACAGAAAGAAGCAGCACGCAAAGTGGAAGAAACCCCGAAATGGCTCTTTTAACAAAAAAGTCTTGGCTGTCTGCCTCTTACACATGTTTTCCTTTTGCTTCATAATGGAAGGAGCACGGTTATCTGAATCATTAAGGCAAAATTTGGGCATAATTGGCTGAAGGTATCATGAAAGAAGACTTGAAAACATGTCCATACTCTGTGACTACTAATTCAGACACACTTTCTGCAGACAGAGGCATATAGTTGATAGAAGCACAGCAGTTTCCTACAGAGAGCACATGGAACATCTATGTTGATGTTTTTAGAGGGTTTTTTTATTATTATTTTTTTTCCTTCCCACTCTCTCATGAGTCCCAAAAAGGAAGGTGGAAAGAGAGTGTGTGGAAATTGAGCTAAGGTGAAGGCTGAAGAAAGTAACTTCAGCTTTGGAGTCTGTTTTCCAAATGCTGTAAATCCCCTATTTCATCCAATATAACACACTGTTCTGAATAAATTATATCATTTTGTGATGAGTGGAGTTTTTGTCAGCTGTAGAAGTGGGATTCGACCTGATTGAAAGCTCTTTAAAAAAATAAATGTGCGACTCCAATTCCTTTTTTCAAGTGAAGTTTTTCAAGCTACCAAGAGAGGGTGTTTTGGTCTCTTACTGTGCATTGTCACAACCTGTGTTTTATATGCGTATTTTAGACATTTTACTTCTTCCGTAATTTTAGTATTTGTGCTGTATTGTTGTGTTTGAGGCAAGTGTGAACAGACAAAGCACCTGAGATTTAATTTTTTGAGAGCATTGTTATTTCAGTATTGTAGCTCAGATGACAAATAATCTGAGTATCTGTTGGCAGGCACAGTACACACTAAGTCTTTTCTGCTAAAAATATGCCTTAAAATGTTTGCTTTTGTAGTTAACTGGATCAGAGTGTAATATCTGTACATTGTGTTTTGTTAAGAAATGCATGCCTGGGGAAGAGGTACTGCTTAATGGATCATGGCTCTGATGTTCACAGGGCATACTTTATTTCTGGCATTAATGATGTTTGCTGTCTTCACTTTTGAAGAATCTGTAAGCAATTACTCTGATTGGGTGACTTTTGTAGAAAATATAGATCAACATGAAAAACAGCAACGTGAAGGTCTCAGAGCTGAGCAGAAGCCAAAAAAAGCAGTTCTTCATCCAAGCTTGTATTTTGATGCTGAAGATGTTCAGGCACTGAGGCAGAAGGCTCATACAAGCCATTCACATCTGTTTAGAGCCATCAGAAGTGCAGTGATAGCTATGCTGTCTAACCCATTATACTACTTACCTCCACCCAAGCACGCTGATTTTGCTGCAAAGTGGAATGAGATTTATGGTAACAATCTGCCACCTCTAGCATTTTATTGTTTGCTGTGCCCTGAAGATAAAGCTGCATTTGATTTTGCCCTAGAATATATGGATAGAATGGCTGGCTACAAAAACTGGTTGGTTGAGAATGCACCTGGAGATGAAGTGCCACTTGGTCACTCCCTAACAGGATTTGCTACTGCTTTTGACTTCTTGTATAATTCACTGGAAAATGAGAGAAGGCAAAAATACCTGGAGAAGATATGGTCCATAAGCAAGGAAATGTATGAGTACTCCAAGGTTCGTTCCTGGGGAAAGCAGCTTCTCCATAACCACCAAGCAACCAATATGCTTGCTTTGCTTATTGGGGCTTTAGTTGCAGGTGTGGACAAAGGATCTCAGGCAAATATTTGGAAACATGCTGTTGTTGATGTGATGGAGAAAACAATGTTTCTGCTCAATCATGTTGTAGATGGGTCTCTGGATGAGGGCGTAGCTTATGGGAGCTACACAGCCAAGTCTGTAACCCAGTATGTTTTCCTGGCTCAGCGACACCTTGGTATTAACAACTTGGAGAATAACTGGCTCAAGATGCACTTTTGGTTTTACTATGCTACCCTATTACCGGGCTTTCAGAGGACTGTGGGTATCGCTGATTCTAATTACAACTGGTTTTATGGTCCTGAGAGCCAGTTGGTTTTCCTGGATAAGTTTGTCTTGAAGAATGGAGCTGGCAACTGGCTGGCACAGCAGATTAGAAAACACAGACCCAAGGATGGGCCGATGGTTCCATCCACTGCACAGAGGTGGAGCACTCTACACACTGAATTTATATGGTATGCTGCTGAAATCACTCCTCAGCCACCTCCTGGCTATGGTAGTGCTAAAATGCATGTGTTTCCTAACTGGGGAGTTGTTACTTATGGGGCTGGGTTGCCAAACAGTCAGGCAAACACCTTTGTGTCCTTTAAGTCTGGAAAGCTGGGTGGACGTGCTGTCTATGACATTGTTCACTTTCAACCGTATATGTGGATTGATGGGTGGAGAAGTTTCAATCCAGGACATGAACATCCTGATCAGAACTCTTTCACTTTTGCTCCCAATGGACAGGTGTTTGTATCTGAGGCTCTTTACGGACCTAAACTCAGCCACTTGAACAATGTCTTGGTCTTTGCACCATCTCCTACAAGCCAGTGCAACCAGCCTTGGGAAGGACAGCTTGGTGAGTGTGCCCAGTGGCTGAAGTGGATTGGTGATGAGGTTGGAGACTCAACTGGAGAAATCATAACAGCCTCTCAGGCTGGAGACATGATGTTTGTGAGTGGTGAGGCAGTATCTGCTTACACATCAGCAATGAAATTGAAAAGTGTGTATCGTGTTTTGCTGCTCTTGAATTCTCAGACATTGTTAGTAGTAGACAATATCGAGAAGGAGGAAGACTCTCCTGTTAATTCTGTCAGTGCCTTTTTTCATAATCTGGACATAGATTTTAAATACATACCCTACAAATTTAAGAACAAATACAATGGAGCTATGATGGATGTGTGGGATGCCCACTACAAGATGTTTTGGTTTGATCATCATGGGAGTAGTCCTGTTGCTAGGATACAGGAGGCAGAACAAGCTGCTGAATTCAAAAAGCGATGGACTCAGTTTGTAAATGTTACCTTTCCAATGAAAAACACACTTACAAGGATTATTTACCTTTTCTATGGCCCTTATGTCAATGTTTCTAACTGTAGACTCATAGATAATGCAAAACCTGGATTTCAGATTTCACTCAGTGTCAACAATACTGAAAATACTATATCTGTTGTGACTGAATATCAGAATTTAAAGAGAAGGTTCGATTACTTGGGATTTGGTGGTTTTGCCAAAGTAGTTCGTGAAAACAAAGTGACCAAGTTTGGTCTAGGTACTGAATCTTTGAAAAAACAGATAAAAAATAATAGGTCAGTTTTCCCATTTGGATTCAAAGTGAACATAGTTGCAGGGTTAATTTTGGGTGTTAGTTTGGTCATACTGGCTTTTCAGTGGCGGTTTTACATATCCTTTGGTAAAATGTTGCGTTGGATCCTGATACTGGTTGTCACACTATGGCTTATTGAATTGGTGGATGTGTGGAGCATGTGTACTCAGCCCATCTGTGCAAAATGGACTAGTGGCATAACAAAGCTAGAACATGATGAAGGCAATAAAGCCAAGCAATTAGAAGGAAACCCTGTTGTTTTGCCAGATGTTATCATTACTTCACTTCCTGCTTCTGGTGCAGAAATTTTAAAACAGCTGTTTTTCAATAGCAGTGACTTCTTATACATCAGGATACCTACACCTTATCTCGAAATCCCTGAGACTGAATTTGAAATTGATTCCTTTGTAGATCCATGTGAATGGAAGGTTTCTGATGTCCAAAATGGTCATTTTCGTCTGATCCAAGGGTGGCTCCAGTCTTTAGTTCGAGGCACAAAGTTACATTTACAAAACATTCATTTATACGAAGCCAGCAGAAGTAAAGTTGCCCACCATTTTGCCATAAACAAAGACAAAAAGAAAAGATCAAAAAAGAGAGAATCTCTGTCAGAGCAGAGAAGCAGGGCAAGAGGGAGTCAAGATAAAGATGCTGAATATATCAGGGAACTGAGAAGGCATCTCTCCTATTATCCTGATGCACGACCTGTGCTTAGTTTAAGTAGTGGAAGCTGGACCTTAAAGCTTCCCTTCTTTCAGGAAATCCTAGGACCGTCAATGAGAGCATTGTATATTGTGAGGGACCCACGGGCGTGGATCTATTCAATGTTGTACAAAAATAAGCCAAACCTTTACTCTTTGAAAAATGTTCCACAACACTTGGCTGCAATATTTAAAGGGGAGAATGGTAAAGAAAAGTGTAGTTTAAATGAAGGCTATGCCTTTGAATATGAATCGTTAAGAAAAGAACTTTCAAATTCTAATTCAAATGCAGTGTCTGTGTTGTCTTATTTATGGTTAGCAAACACAGAAGCAGCACTGAGAATAAATAGGGTCTTGCTGCCAACAAATTATCAGCTAGTCAAGTTTGAAGATATTGTGAGCTTTCCTCAGAAGACGGCTGAAACAATTTTTACCTTTCTTGGTATTCCTCTTCCTCCTGCTAGGTTAAACCAAATATTATTTGCCACCTCCACCAATCTTTTCTATCTTCCTTATGAAGGGGAAATTTCATCAAGTAGCATTAATTCCTGGAAACAAAACATGCCCAATGAAGAGATTAGACGGATTGAAGATATCTGTTATTCTCTAATGGATCACTTAGGATACCCAAAGTTTATAGAATAAATGCTGCCGGTCAGCAGAAATTTGCACTAATGATCTCTGACTCCTAATTTGTGGATAAATATTAGAAAAGTTTGTTTATTCTTGTAAAATGTGTACAGTCTGCTAATTTCAGAGAGATTATTTTAAGAAAACGATAGTTGTTCTTGCAGTTGTGGGGTTTTTTTTTGGTTTATTTTGGTTGGGGCGGGGGGGGGAATACAACAAAAACTTGTGAGTACTTCTGCTGCCTTTCAAAAAAAGCTGTGTGAACATTTGTAGAACTACCAGCTGGGAACTCTATAGCTCAGGGGATTAGTAATAGAATATGGAACTTTTCACCTCCAGCTCACCAGTTAGACCAGGTAGTTAGTTCCTGAAAGTACTTACCATCTAATTATTGTATGACGGCTTATATGAAATTAAACTGGCTAACCTGGCCCAGTTCCCAAAGGTGATAATTAGCCCCCCCGGACAGGTTTGCTAATGAATTGTGTCTCACTGGTCCCTATAGTGGTGCAAAATAAACATAAGTTGAGATTTAAGGCTGTTTAGCATCCCTTCAGCAGGAAGAAACAATCAGAACATTTGAATGAATCTAGTTTCTTATTTACAGTCTCAGCAGATAGGCCCAGAACTGGAATGGACATGGATATTAAGTATCATTATGGGATACAGTTCTTTCAGCTCAGAGATGTGGCACTTACACTGGGGTTTGTGCTTTGATGAAAGAGAAGACTTCATTGTCCATGCCTGACAATGGAGTATGCTTTGTGAGCTTGAAGTAAATTATCTGCAGAAAAAGAAATAGGACAAAAGCTAAGAAACCAAGTGGATGTCCCAAATGAGCAATTCAGTTTTGAGAAGATTTTATGTAGTTTTGACCCACCTCAACCTAACTTGATTTTGAAGATTGCTAACATATTGGCTCCTTGCACTGCTTTATCCTCTGCCGCTTGTGTAAGAGGTTCTGCAAGGATTTTCTCTTTTTCAGTGAGACTCTTCCATCCTGCTTAGTTGTAACACATTTCTGCTGATTCTTGTGCGTAATTTCTCTGCGACCAGTGCAAATATTTGATGTCATTGTCAATGGCTTATTGTTGATGTCTGCATAAAATGCCAATCTGAGATTTAGAAGATCTTAAATAAATTCCAGGTCTGTATTGCTGAGGGATGTTTTGCTTTTCTGTAAAATGAATTTCTGAAGGACAACCATTGCTAACTTCAGGTCTTCTTTTAGAGAAGGCAGAAATCTGAAAATCACGTATTCCTCAATCACCTCACATTTGAGTTTCCTTACAGTAAACTATTTCCAAAGTTGTCTGATTTTTATTGGTGTTTTTTTAACATGGAACTGTGGTATGATATTGGTTTGGAATCAGATAGGCTTGAAATGATGTTTGTGTTTTTGTCACAGCTTATTTTCTTCTTGAGTCACAATATTTGTTTGCACATACCCATTAAGAAAAGTTTTCCCATTTCCCAATATAACTTGCTCAGAATTCTGTGGAAATGCGTGCATATTGTATATGTCTGCAGATGTATAAATCAGGTCAAAAAAAAGACATCTGTTTCCTTTACCATCTGCTTTTTATTTACAAAAAGAATTGTCTTGATATATGCATCAGTTGGTTTGTGGGAGCTGAGATCAGAGCTGGTTTATTATATTGAAATATATGTGTAATTACTCTTTATTTGGGTGGTAAGCATCAGACAATGTCAAAAGTGCAGTGAGTTTCTTCATACAGATTACAGGTACCCTCCCTGATTTTTAATATAAAGGAGTTCTTGCTTTTTTTCCAATTTTACTATTATGTCCCTGTCTTACCCCATTGTCTTGTCCCTCCCATACATACATTTCACATCCTTTGGAGCATGTTGTAATATGTAATTATGACCTAGAAGTAGCTCTATCATGGTCAGTCACTGGAATGTCAAAAAAAGCCCCTAACATGATAAAGCTATTTATTGGTCTTACTAAATATATTTTTTGGTTTTACTAACCATAACTTAGCTGTCATTTACTAGCAGTGGTTGATTTTTCCCCCTTCAGTCCAAGGTTTTTCCCCTGGCTAGGTGTAATGCCATGTTGAAGAAATATTAAACAATATACACCAACATGTTAGTGAGACTTTGGTTTTCAAGTATCATTCTCTCAAACTGACTTCTCTCAGAAGACAGTTTTGATCATATACTAAAAAGAAAAGGTGTGGATGTTTGTACTTGACAGAATAAGTTTCAGCATTTGCCTTCTGTTTCCAGGATTTACACTAGAAGCAGAACAGACAGAAAAATCTCTGTTAGATATTTTAGGGAAGCTGGAGGTAAGATTTATGACTGTGTATTTGTGGAAGCAGAAAGACCTTTAAATCCCTTCCTAAAAGTGCCACGTGTAATGCCACAATAGCCTATAAACCAACTTTCTGTTTTTGAGGAGTTAGGGTAGATGGAATCATCTGTTGGGAGTATCATCTGTGCTGCTTTTGGAAAACAAGTTATCCAATGAGCTGATGTTCATAATAGTGTCATTGCTGTCATTAATTATATTCAAGATTTAGGAGCTATTTCTTTACTGTCCTATACTTTCTCAGTTCAAACGATGCGTAATCTATTATTCAGATTTTGATGCATTGTGTGTTCCGTATACAGATGTAGGAAGGTAGAACTATATTCTTTATTTTTACATCTTCTTGTGAAGGCAGCTGCATTATAATCGGTATGCTAAAAATATGTAAAAGGAAAATCAGTGTATTTGAAAACAACAAAGTGAGCATGCGTAAGGTATGGCAAGTCTCCAATTTTCAATCAAGTAATTGTTTTGTTGTGTTTTATATGATAAGTTACATGACCACTTGACCAAAGTTCGTAGGAGTTAAATTTATGTTTGAGCAGTTAATTTGCCAGATCCAGAGTTAAATTTCTGTACAAAATCCTGAATTTTGTGTGAATTGTGTGGCACAATACTATTTGACAGTGTAATACTATTCTGGTGTTAGAATGAAATCAAACAAAAAACTCACTTCAGGTTTTATAGAATTATTGGTAACTGATTGTAAAGCTGCAGTCATGGATCAGATTTATTATTTTTTTTTAGCCATATAAATGACTGTTGAAACTTAATGATAACAACTGCTAGGGGACTCCTGGTTCTGCCAGCAATCAGTTACTTCCATTATTAGTCTTAGAGACACTATTTATTTGACAAACACATAATCAAGGATATAATACTGCATTTCCTGAAAGTATTTGGACTGCACGGTTCAAGATTATGGATAAAAATATGTTACCTCAATATTTCTGTAAGTTGCAAAAATTAGCCCTTTTGTGACTGGCCCATATGTTGGAATATCTCATAATTAGAAACTGTGATATTTATTTATGTGACTTGGATGTAATTTATTTAGATTATTTCTTTTTAATTGCACATAAAATTATTTTCTTCAAGACAATAAGTTCTGGATTTAAAAATTTTTATGATCAGGGCATTATACTCTTTCCTTCCTTTATCCAGGCTCCCTTTTAGATTTGGTTCTGACTAAAACCTTTGCTTAAATCTCACCATGAATGAGCTGTTTCCAAGAAAGGAGTCTGTCTGGAAACTCTTATATTCTCAGGTTCCATTTCATTGTATTTCACTGTGGAATATCATGAACTAGGAGTCACAGATCAAATCCCTAAATTGTGAGCTGTTCAGAAGTGGGCTGTAAGAGGAATGATTCCTTTCCTGTAAGAGGAATGAATATTGTGCCATTGATTTCAACAGGGCCAAAATACTATCTGTCATCTAGAAACATCAAATTATTGCCATCTACTTTGCTCACATGTTCCAAAACAGCAGAAATTATAGGAAGTAGGTAGCTCAAATGATCTGTTCTTGTTATTTGATGAAAACCTGAAATGCATTTTAATGGTGTAAAAAAATTATAAATTGCTCTGTAACCGTAATCAAAGCTACCTTTAGGCTGTCTGTTAAATTTATAAACTCACAAAAGGAGGTATTGAAACAAACATATTAAAAATAATGTACAAAGCACTATTTGAAATATTATAACTTTGGTTTTCTTTAGTGAAGAGAAATTTGCTGCATCGTGATCTACACTATTTCCATAAAGGATGTGAATGGGTAATCTTGCACTCTCTCAGAAAAAAACTAATAATGGGAAACTGCTGTTTCACATTACCGAAATCATACTCTACTAAATTAAACTATACATCTTTTAAGATGACAGTATACAGAGAGATTTATGTGATTTAGGAGAATGAAGATCTGATTTCATTTACACCTGTCTAACACAGAACAATTTCTGAAAGGTTCTTCATGTATGCTGGTATAAATTCAACATTTAATTTGCTGTCTTTACTGAGAAAGATATTGTGGTGTTTAAGAACATGACCTGAATTTGTCTAGCACACATTAGGTAATTTAACTTTCACACGTAAATAAGGAGCACTGTCACTCTAGAATCAATTGAAAGTGAGTGTTGACTTCAAAGGCAAATCAGACATTGCTTACCCCTTTTTAAATTCTCAACAGCCAAGGGTGACTCAACCATTACTTTAGATGCCCACTGAAAGGCCTCAAATGAAGTGGGGTGAATTTGGCTTTAAATGTGTATGGTCTTAGATCTGAGTAGATTTCTGTGCCTGATCAGTTCTAGTACATACACTGTCCAAACAAAAGTTTCTGAAACATCCTGCATAAAATAAAACTATTGTTAGTAAAATAATTTTTTTGTGTTAGCCTTTTTTTGTCTCTTACATGATTTCACCAACTAGGATATATGTATTTAATTTTTTAAAATATTGCTATTTTTGTTTGTTTTGGATGTGGAAACCGCTGTTTTCTTTCAGAAAGTATTGAATGGCAAGACCTGATTCAGTTTGCCCTTAGATTCACAGTAGGTATGATTGATGTTAAGTTGAAGACCACAGAATAGCTATATTCCTAGAAAAAAAAGGGATGATTTCCCATTCAGTTCTCAGGAGCTAGAGAGCTGGTGCAGTCCACAGTTTTGAAGTCTGTGAACACTGTGGCTATATGCAGACTGTATTTAGAAGAGTGCCTTCTGGAATTCCTGAACTATACCTAGGATTCTTTTCAGAGACTGATATTTGGCCCATTTCAACAGTTTACAGTGTAGGTAAACAAGTTCCAGAAACCATGAATGTTCTCTTGTGTGTGGTTTGGTTTTGTTTTTTTACAAAAAAGACACAGAATCGAGTTAACTGCAATAACTGCAGCCCTTTGGGTCTCTTACTGAATGTGGGCTGGTGCAGGCAGTATCTGTCAGATCCAGAGGCCCAGGTAGTTCAGCATCTTTATTGTTGCAAAGGTCTATAACCCACTTCAGTGCATCAGAGCTGCAACTAGGTTCCTGCAGCAGATTTTTTTTTTTTTTTCATTGAAATTAGCAGAAAGCGTTTGTGATATACCTTAAACATAGGGGAAAAATGAGACCAGATTCTATCTTTTCTGTGAACTTCAGCATGTTATAAACCAAACATTTGCATGTTTTTAAGTCTTGGTGACATTAAATCTAGCTGTAAAGAAGGTTTAATGTTGATGGTTGGGTGTTTTTTTTCTGAAGGGTGTTAGCTATGTTTCTTCTCTGTTAGTGGCTGTTGACTTTACAGTTGCTGGGCAGTATGTGCTTATCTTCTGCAGCTTGTCCTAGGTCATGTCACTGCACTCTCACAAATTATTTGTTTGTTTGCTTATTTATTTATTTTTAGCCTCCTGAAACTTGAGCCCAACTTTGGCTTTTGGTAGAGTTACATGAGAGATGGCTATTATGATAGGAGCAAGGTGGGGTGTGAAAAATTATTGCTGTCTATTGCAAACTCTTTAACAGCATTTGTCTCCTAATACTTTCTGAAAGGTTTTTCAAAGTGACTAAATCCAATGTAGAAACTAATACTGAGAATATGATAAAAGGCAGGCTGTCAGAGATAATAGATGCAGGCTTGTTTTTGTGAAAGCCATTAATATTTTCACTCTTAATTGCTTTTCTAAGAGAGGAGTTTGTTATATTTTCTTTGGGACTTTTTTTAGACCTTTTTATGTTTCCATCCTAACTTGCCTAGAAATAGATTTTATCCTATGTTTTCTGAATCCTAGTTTGAAATGTTAATTTTGTTATTTTCTTTGAACCTTCTGTTGTGTTTCAGGATGGTTCAGTCTGTTCTTTTCATAAATTGCATCCTACAGATGCCACTTGATTTCAAGAAACATAATCTCAGAGCTGGCAAGGACTGTGATAGGTGCACAGAAATTAACTGAGAAACAGGAGAAACAAAATGTTAAGAAGCTGAAGAGAGTAGATTTGAAACATGTTTAGGTCTTAATGAGCTGCCATATTGGTCACTATGAATCTCTGACTAATAGACTTTATTATTCACTTTAATTGTTCAGCTGAACATTGTCTGTTTCAAATTACCATAAGAGTATTGATGGAAAGATAAATTAAAAGGAATTTTTGTTTGGATGTATTTTGATTATTTTTTTTCTTCAAAGCAGTGCAATTCTTTTGTATTCCCAAGCTGTGTTAGTTTGTAACTATTACCCAGTGTAGCTCTGTAACAGCAGTGCTGGCACCAGAAGATGATTTTCAATGAGAAGTTGCACCTACCTACCTGCTGGACGTAGATTCAATATTGATAATTTCTCAACTGCCAGCATCCTTTGGTGACATATTCATGCTAAAGAATGGAATGCGCTGTTGCTGAACAAAATAGACATGATGTGAAAGCATGCATATTATACAGTCAGAATTCCACCAATTAGTCAAGATTAAGACAGTATCATAATCAGATCTTTACAAGTATGGGCATGCATTCCTCAGCCTACTTACTAACCTTCAAGACCCTTTTTAATTGCAGACTAGGCTAAGATTAATTTCCTTACATTTGCTGAAAGAAAAGAACAAGCCAATGTGGAGATACCCTGGCTTTGTAGGTAAACTAGGATTTTTTGAAGTTGCTGCCACTTGAATGTGTGTCTGCACCTCCAAATTGCTCCAGGGTGCATTTGCAAATCCTTCAGGTGCATTTGCAAATCTTACATAATGACTTATCCTTCTGAATGCAGTGTATAGGCATTTACCTATTTCTATTCCACCTTTCTCTGATAACACCCACTGCTTACTTTCTTTAGCACATTAAGGGAATACAATGATTAGTGAAGAGCCAGGCTAGACAATAAACAAA